CTTGGCTTCTAGAAAAGAATGAAAACAATACATTCCACAATCCTACTCCTGTCTATTCCCCCCTCCCATCAACTCTACCAATGAAATAGCATAATGAAATAAGAGAAAGTGTGGCAGGCCAAAATTCTAAAAGGAATATAATTGCAGGCCTGACATTAGTAGGTTGTGCTCATGAAACTCTGCATTGAGGTGAGAGATTTGCAAGTTGCCATGGAGCAGAGACTTCAATATCTTCATGGTGAAAGATGATCTCTGGTACCAGTCAAGGTCACCTCCTTCAATTTTATGGAACATTTATGGCATTTTTTGTGGCATATGCTTTTAGTCTTTTCCCAGTCCAACCCTTCATCTCACATGACCTTAGCCTGCTTAGCTTCTTGGCCCAAGATGCTTCTAATGAGAGTTTTGAGCTGGGGAAGGAAAATCAAAGGGATTCTTAACTACAGGATAAGATCAACTCTGGTTACTGGCTGTCCTCGAATAGAAGGGCAGCATAGGAAGTGAGAGGATCAGAGAGGTTAACCAGCTTAATATACACAACATACTTTTTAGTGTATGACATGGTAATGGCTGTGCTTGTAGAAAAAAGAGTCAAAACAGAAAGAATCATTTTTTTTTTACAAAGAAGCATGTACAAAGAAATTGGAAAAGAAATTAGCAGGGTGAAATGAATTACAGAAAGTAGATCAGTGGAAAATTGGAATTTAATGTAATTTTTTATATTCAGAATAGTAAAAGTAAAGGTTCCCCTAGCACATATATGTTAGTTGGTGCTCATCTCCGGTTGAAAGCCAAAGAGCCAGCGCTGTCCAAAGACATCTCTATGGTCATGTGGCTGGCATGACTAAAGGCTGTAGGTGCATGGAACACTGTTATCTTCCCACCAAAGTGGTCCCTATTTTTCTACTTGCATTTTTACATGCTTTCGAACTGGTAGGTTGGCAGAAGCTGGGACAAGTAGTGGGAGCTCACTCCGTTATGCAGTGCTAGGGTTTCGAACCACCAACTTTTCTCATCAAAAAGCTCAGTGTCTTAGCCACTGAGCCACGGCGTCTCCTTATATTTAAGACACGATATAATTATTGTCAGGTTCTTACAATAGTAACATAGATTCTCAGCTGCTATGGAGAACTTTGCAATAGATAATAAGTACCTGCCATGCCTTCAGCTTTGGAGTTTTCACATTTTTACCACCTTTAAATGTCCTCCTGGATCTGGATATATAAGCTGCATTTAAGGTCTGTGCCACAGCCCAGATTTTGTTGTAAATTAAATAGTTGTCCAGAGTTAGGATTAGGTCCATCTCCTCTTTCCTCAGGGCTCCCAGTTCTTCTTTCTGCTTGCACCGTCTCCAGAATTTAACTGAAAAGACATCATAGGAGTAGGAACATAGGAAGGAGGTATGTACAATATGTCTCATAAAAGAATAAACCTTGGAAAAGCCATCATCCTTTGTCATTTGATTTTTCTTCATAGGAAAGGAAAATATGCTATAGGTGTATTGAACAGAAAGCCTTTTTTCTGACAAATAAATAGTGAAATCCCAACAGACGGTGCAGTGATTAGGACTTTTCCTCTAAGACTGTACTCCTTAGGAAGAGCTTCAAATAGCCCACGAATAACGTGAACCCCTATAATGAATGTATTCATCTCTGCAGCATAAATAAAGACATTCACTTTTAACCAATATTCTAATGATTCAAACTTAACGTCCATTTTATAAACAGCTGTAGGAAAGGTTTGTGATATAACTGGGCAAATGCCATTCTTTATCAGCATGGAAGTCAACGTCCAAATGAACTGTTGTCCATTCTCAGTGTCTGGTGCTAGGA